AGCATTTAATACCTGCCCACTTCTCAGCATTCTAGCCCAGCAACATAGTACACAGAAGGGCTATTTCCCCTTTTGATTGTGTAGTTGACTTGGAGATGCAGGTCACTGCTGCTGCCCAGCATCCTAAGGGAGGACAGGTAACATGGCACAATCCTAGAGTAGGAAAGGATCAAAATTCAAAATATGTATCCTATGGAATGTATCACTTATGCCCCATCATAAAAATGAAAAGCCATGACTCACAAATATGGAACAATTTGCATATACTATTGATTAAATTGAACACTCATTATTAACAGTAAGGTGATAAATAATAAATGGTAATAAATATACTTTGTCAAGTGCATGTGAAACTACTTCAAGTAGCTGACACCCAGTAAGCACATTCTGTAGTACAGGTAACACTGGAAATTATGACACATTAGTTCACTAAGTTAGATGATGAGACAAAGAATTAAAGATCAAATTTGGTGAGATCAGCAGAAAAGTACATATCCTATCCAATGTGTCAACAGGAATTCTAGGGCTGGTTTAATAATACAAGTGTTTTTAGGATACAAAATGTCAGTAAACACAGATTTGTTGTTAATTTTCGTTGTAGTCTTAGCATGGTTTTATCATTATAAGGTACTTATTTGTTAAACTCTGACAGTCACTGTACTTGGCATTTTTTCTTCTGTTCTTTATTAAAATAATTAAAAAGGTCACAGTTAACTATCATTCTTCCCAGAAGTTGAGAGACATTTTTCTTGTTATATAATACAGTCAGTAGTATTGCACTGCCATGGTGAAACAGGGAAGATTAAATTGAAGGATAAAATTCACTATAATTCTCTAAAATTTTGTTCTTATTTTCACTTATGTGACAAGACATAGAGCCTATGTATATTAATTTAATGTGTTCCAGGATAAGTTGTTCAGAAATTCCATTATACTGTTCCACAAAATGCTAATATTGTATAAAATATACAATCTAACTGAAGAATTCTCATTTCTTTCTTTTGAACTTCACATATATGTATGTATATACACACACAAACACGTACACACATAGAAGTAGGGAAATGTTCAGGTCATGTATAGTCTATACGTACAAAATAGGGTGATAAATGTTTCCTCTGCCTTCCCAGCTGCCATGGACATAAATCCCCAAACCCTGAGACACACCACAGAAAGCACTCAACTGGTTTGACATTGCTAAGTATCTCCTCTATATTCTTCCAGGCTGGATCGTACCTATTCCCTTCTTATTTCCTTTTTTCTTGTTGAAAACAAATAAGCAGATGAATAATCGAAGGTCCTGCTCCTAGATTTTTAAAAATGAGTAACTGAGATGCAGTTTCATTTAGTTCACCGGAAATACGCATTCTGAGAAAGTGTGCATCAATTTAAATTTTTTTTGCAAAAAACTTCCTTACCTCTTAACCCATTTTGACAAACTTTTCAAAGAACTCTTACATATTTTGCATATGTAAAGTGAACCAATTAATATGACAAAATTCACTATTCCAAAGTATGTTCCCAGAGTTGGATAACCATTACCTCAATCAATTTTGGAATATTTGTAATCAACCCTGAAAAGAAACCATGTATAACTTCTCCATCACCCCTTCGGTCCCTCTTTCTTCCTTAGCCCTGCACAACCACCACTCTGTTTCATCTCCAGAGATTTCCCTGCCCAGGAAATTTCATTTTAATAGAGACCTACAGTATGTAGCCTTTTATGAATGGCTTCTTTCACTTAGTATACTACTTTCAGTATATACTTTTAGTAGTATACTACCATCCATGTTATAACATCTATTTATACTTCTTTTTGTTGTGAAACAATGTTCAATGTAGTAGAATACAGTTCTGTTGTATGATGAACATTTAGATATTTCTGCTTAATGTTATCATGAACATGCATTTCCACCATGCTGCATGGACAGATTTTTTCCTCCCCTGCCATTGGATTTAATCAAACTCAAGTTGTCCTTTCTGGTCTTTTACTTCTACTTTTGGAACACCATTTATTCAGACCCAGCCCAATATTTCCCTTTTGTCAATAAGCTTTTCCTTCTGTCACACTGTTGACTCTTATAGACTTGAGACTTTTCAATGTGTGTCATCCAGTTTGTGCAGAGCCACCTAATCCTTTATTTCACAAGGCTTTTATTTTTATTCATGGAATAAAAAAATTCCCCTATCTTGGTATAGATTGAGGATATTTTAGCTTATCATTTTTTCAGATAAATACTTTATACCTTATCAGAAATTTCTTCTTTCAAATATCGACATAGTATTGTGAATTAAGCTTTAGTATGAAAAATTTTACTCCAAATACATTTTAAGCAATAAATTATAAAATTAAATGCACTTATTTGCAATAGAGTAGGATTTCCCTATCAGACACTCAGGCTATATGCCCTGAGGAACAAAAAGGTCTAAATTTACTTTCTTTCATGCTGTAGCCAGAACTAGGATTTGTAGTTTCATAGTTTTTGTGCACTGGTTACAGCTTTTCTGATTCACCAAAACATAGAACGTTATGCTATCCTTAGAATGAATTGTTTTGGAAAAGTTGATTTATTCATTGGATCTAATATTTTTAATAGAAAACTTTTATTTAATAAATATGAATTCCAAAAGTACAACTTTTGGATTATAGTGGTTCTTTCTTGCATAACCACCCTCCCACCCACACACCATCCCATCTCCTACTCCCTCTCCCATCCCATTCTTCATTTTTTAAAAAGATTTATATATTTGAAAGAGTTATACAGAAAGAGGAGAGGCAGAGAGAGAGAGAGTGAGTCTTCCACCCGATGGCTCATTCTCCATTTGGCTGCAATGGCTGGAGCTGCACCGATCTGAAACAAGGAGCCATGAGCTTCTTCTGGGACTCCTACGTGGGTGCAGAGGACCAAGAACTTGGACCATCTTCTACTGCTTTCCCAGGCCACAGCAGAGAGCTGGATCAGAAGTAGAGCAGCCGAGTCTAAAACCGGTACCCATATGGGATGCCAGCACTTCAGGCCAGGGTGTTAACCCACTGAGCCACAGCACCAGCCCCCCCCCCCATTTTTCATTAAGATCATTTTTAATTAGCTTTATATAGAGACTATCAACTTAGTATATACTAAGTAAAGATTTCAACAGTTTGCACCCACACAGACACACACAGTATAAAGTACTGTTTGAAAATTGGTGCTACCGTTAATTCTCATAGTACAAGACATTAAGGACATAGGTTCTACATGGGGAGCAAGTGCACAGTGACTCCTGTTGTTGATTTAACAATTGACATTCTTGTTTATGGTGTCAGTAATCACCCAAGGCTCTTGTCATGAGAGAGAGAGAGAGAGAGAGAGGGAGGGAGAGAGAGAGAGATCTTCCATCCAATGATTCACTCCCCAATTGGCTGCAATGGCTGGAGCTGTGCTGATCCATAGCCAGGAGCCAGGAGCTTCTTCTGGGTCTCCCATGTGAGTGCAGGGGCCCAAGGACTTGGGCCATGTTCTACTGCTTTCCCAGGCCATAGCAGAGAGCTGGATGGGAAATGGAGCAGCCGGGACTCGAACCGGCACCCATATGGGATGCCGACGCTTCAGGTTGGCTTTAACCCACTGCGCCACAGCGCCAGCCCCAAATCAGTTCTTTTCAAGCAGAGTCCAGGTGCCAGCTGCAGAGCTGAGAGGGAGACAGGATCACCAGCCTGGTGCCTGACCTCAGAGCCCACTGCAGTTACCACCGCTGGTCCCTAAGGGAGCACAGCTCAGCCTGCCTGCTGCCTGCAGACTCCCCTGAGTTCTCAAAAGGCCTCCTCACTGGGGAAAGCACAGCCTGGTTGGTGCCTCCATCACCCTCCCCTTCCCTTCCCTGACATCTCCGTGCCATGATGTCTCTTCCCCCATGGCACGTCTCCAGGTGTACAGCTGGACCAGGACTGAGGGACTGAGGCTGGGTTTCTCCAGCCTCTCAGCCAAAACTAAACCTATCTTAGCCACACTGTTTACTTCCTAGGAGCCCCAATTACAAGGTCTTCTGGAGCCATGGAAGTGTTGAGGGTCCAGATTTCCAAAAGACCCATTCTTGGAGTGATCTGATTGGCTTCTCAGTTCTTAAAAGGGTAGGGCTCAAAGCATTGCTATGAAAATGACCACAAACGGAGCCTACTCCTTCCCAATCCTATAGACTTCTCCAGATCTTTTTGTCCCAATAAATATTTTCCTTTCTAAGTACCTATGGAACAAGCATTATATCTAAGCCAATCAGCGTTCTGGGACTGAATTAAGCCTCCAGTTCTACATGGAAGCAGAGGGCTGAAGACTTTACTAAGAGGCTGGATAAAGGATTGATCGGGCAGTAGCACACAGGAGAGTTAGACCTTCAGAAGCTTGCAGGGTATAAGCATCCACTGATGGCTGTGACATTGCCTTGGAAATGGCTCTACGCCTCCCCCAGGATGCCATTGGACCTCGGTCCTACTCTAGAGCTGATTTTTAGCTAAGCAAACAGCAAAGTTTGGGGTTTATGAGGTACAGCCTCTCTAGCCAATGATTCATACCTGGATTCAGCGTATGTATAGCGACCATACCAGGCTGACCTTGGTTGCGTGCTTTGGAGGGCTCAGGGAAGTCTGGGCCCTCGCTGTCCTCAGAGAATGTGTGGGAGAGTTGGGGTCACAGGTGAAAACGGCTGCACGCCATGGGGCTGGTGTGCCAAGCTGAGGTGGTAACACAGAGGAGAGGAGAGGAGTGGGGCAAGAGAATGGAGACAACATGGTAGCCAGGGTTGGGGGCAGCCTGCTGTAACAGGCAAGAGCACAGGCTCTGGTGGCCAAATCCCAGCTCCACCACTTCCTGGGCGTGACCCCTGGCAGGGGACTCAGTCTCAGTGCTGCCACTTCCTCTTCTACAAGATGGGTATGGCGGCAATCACTTCCACATCTTGGCTTGTTGTAGGGACGAAATGAGTCAATAGTTACAAAGCACTCGGAACCACATGTGCTGCATCATAGGCACTGTGTTTATCAAGCAATTTGCTGAACACTGAAGACAGCCTCAGATTCTACATACAGTCTATCTCAGATTCTGAAAGTTGCCTGGGAAGGCGCATAGCCCAGGTAGCCAAAAGTAATAAAAGGGAATTAGCACTCTGTATCTCTCGAGAAACATGAATGAGATTGTCTTTTGTAATTTCCAACAATTCTGTAGTCCCAGTCCTTTTGTCACCTATTGCTTTGCATTCTTCCATCTTGTGGCTCCCCCTATCAGTGCACTGATAGGGGGCCTCTGCCCACGGGGCTCACTTTGTCTCTCTCTCTCTCTCTCGCTTTCGCTCTCGCTCTTGCTCTCGTTCTCACTCTCGCTCTCGCTCTCTCCTGTGGGTGGCCATGGTAATGCACCTCGCAGACTCCTTAGTACTAAATGCACTTTGGTAACTGAACAAGGCCATGGCTGCCATGCTTTGAAATCCATGGCTGCCTTTGCAGGAGCCCATGAGCTCATGGGCTGTTCTCCACCAATGACTTGGGGACCCCTTTGTCAACAGCTTTGCCTCAGGAACTCTCAGTAGTTTTGCCAAACCTTCCGTAGACTCCATGGCAGGCCAGGCTAGGGCACATCCACCCAGTCTTCTTTCTCCTTCCTTCACTGCTCCCATCAGCTGGGCTCACAGAGCGGCCACTTCGTGTGCCTTAGGAAGTCCTGGGGACCTGCCAGCAAAGGGGTGCTCCAGGTAGACTCCGGGTGGGAAGGTACAATGAGACCGCTTCGGGAACCTGCATGGTGGCGTAGTGGGTAGCTCCCGTGTGGGTGCCGGTTCGTGTCCCAGTTACTCCACTTCCAATCCAGCCCCGTGCTGATGCACCTGAGGAAGCAGAGGAGATGACCTAAGTGTCAGGCTCAGCCCTGGCTGTTGTGGCCATCTAGGGAGTGAAGCCGTGGACGGAGCATGTCTCTTTCTCTCTGTCTCCCTCTCCCTCTCTGGAACTTGCCTATTAAGTAAGTGTCTTTAAAAATAAACAAATAAATAAATAGCCAGTGCCAGGATTCTGTAGTAGCGGCAGAATTTAGTGCATTAGGAAATCCCTGGTTTCCTTTCTCCCCTTTTCCTCTCTGCACCATTGCCGGGTGTCAGTGCCCAGAACCTCCTGCCTGTCCTGCACCCAGGTGTCTTCCCTTCCTCCTCAGGGGCTCACAGAGGCAGCGCCCGCCTGCCCCCATTGTCCCCACCTGGTCCAAGCCCTCACCAGGACAGCTGCCCCCATAGCTCCTGCAGCAGGTGCACGCCTCCCTCCCCCCACTGGCCCTCAAATCCTGACTGCTCCCAGGTGCTTCTCTGATCTCCCCTCTCCCCAACTAAGAACCCAGCAGAGGCATCCAGGGCTGTCAGAGGAAATGCGAACTCCTAAGTCAGCTCCAAGCCCTCCCTCCCCTATGCTCACACCCCACCATCTGGCCTCCTGCAGTCCCTGGACTCCTCTCCCGGCGTGCCATCATCCCCTGTGTAGGCATCAGCCAGTGAGCACCCTTGTATGGGACTCCAGGGGAGACGCAGAGAAAGCAGAAGGCTGGGGCGTGGCCCACAGGAGACCAGGACCAGCACAGGTGAAAAACAAGCTCCCCAAGAGCCCCACCCTGCAGAGACTCACAGGCTGTGATGATGATGCTTGGACCACCCCAGAGACGCCACATTCCTCATCCATGTCCACTGAGCAGCGGCAGCCCAGCACCGCTCCTGATGTCCAAATGCCTTGTGGGACACCGTGCACAGCGTTCTCTCCACCTCCAACACTGGGCCCCTCGGTTGCCCCTGCCCCTTGCTTGGAATTCTGGGCCATTGCCCCGCCCTGAGACTCTCAGGGAGGCCAGGACAGGAGCCACGCCCAGTGACTGGTGGAAGACGCCGGCCCCACCCTCCACCATCCCCACCTCCCTGTGTGTGTGACGCGAGCACCTGCTGGAGCCCACGCAGCCCAGTTCTGTGCACGGAGCATCCATGTAACCTCAGATCTGGAAGAAAGCTCCTTCACTAAACACAGCCTACCTGTCCCAGAAATGTGGAAGTGAGGAAGACCGGGGTGGGGGAGGTCCCATCCTCCAGTGTCCCCAGGTGGGGCAGAGGGTCCTGTCCTCTCCAGTAGGTCTCAAGCCTTTCTTTCAGTTCCCTGGGAACTTGGAAGGCCTGGGTGCTGCCAGGGGCCTCCTGAACTAAAACCAGGTCCTCGTCTTGCCCGCGTCCTCTGTTGCATTTGGGCCTCACCGTGGGCAGGCCGGGCACACAGCACAGCGTGGACGTCCTGCCCGGCTCCACCTGCAGCTGTTGGACTGCAGAGTCGGTGGATCCCGTACCCCATGAGGTCAGGTGCATGGCCCTCGGGGGAATGGGGTCGTGTTCTCCCTTGACGACGCAGGAGATGTTGGAGAAGACACTGACAGCTCTCTGTTGCAATGCACAGCTCTGTGGACTGGGACCTCCCTGCTGTGCCAGAGACCTCAGACCCCGACCCTCGTGTGCCTGTGCCATGTGGACGAGTGACTCCCCCTCCCTCCCTGTCTCCCGCCTAGCCTCTGGGAGGCGTCACTCTATGCTCTGCTTCTATGAGGTCACCCCTTCTGTGACCCCCACACGGGTGTGATCGCCCAGTGTTGGTCTTTCCATGAGAAAGACAGTACCGCCCACACCTCCATCACCTCCCCACGGTGCACACAGGGACCCAAACATCACACGGGACCAAAGCCACGCACAAAGGTGAAGTTTATTCATGAGAAGCACTTGCAAATGCTCACAAAAAACGTTCAGTCAGCTCAGCCTGCGCATTGCTCCTGGTGACGGGGGCGGAGCGAGGCTACTTGGGGGCCACTCTGCAGCAGCGGAGGCCAGGGCCGCTCCCTCGGGATGGCAGGATGCGGCACGCCCTCAGCAGGAACCGGAGGATCCTCCTGCCGACCCCGTGCCGGCCCTGCCTCTTGCCCTGGGCGCTGGCTGTGCAGTCTGTGGTGGCAGCGGTGGCTGCGGTCCCAGCCCCCTCAGGCTCACAGGCAGCTGCGGCGGCTTCTGGCTCTGCGAGGTCCACACGGCTCCTGGCACTGGGGCTGGAGGGCGACGCCTTGGAGGCTGGCTCGGGGGCTGCGCTGGGAGCAGGGCTCCTCTCCTGCGGTGGCTGGCCTGGTAGGTGAGTCAAGAAGGGGTCACCAAGGGGGCCTAGGGCTCAGCCAAAGAGTACCCGAGATGGCTGGGGCTGGGAGGGAGAGGGGAAGACTCACTGGAGGGCTCGGAGGAGTCGGGGGCTGCGCTGGGAGCAGGGCTCCTTGCCTGCTGTGGCTGGCCTGGTAGGAGAGAGTCAAGACTGGGGTTACCTCGGGGCCTTGGGCTCAGCTCCTGGAGGCCCCCAAGTGGCAGGGGATGTGGGGAGTGGGCAAGACTCACTGGAGGGCTCGGTGGAGTCGGGGGCGGCGCTGGGAGCAGGGCTCCTCTCTGGCTGTGGCTGGCCTGGTAGGAGAGAGTCAAGAGTGGGGTCACCTCGGGGGCCTTGGACTCAGCTCCTGGAGGGCCCAAGGCAGGAGGGGCTGGGAAGGGAGAGGGCAAGACTCACTGGGGGCCTCGGAGGAGTCGCTTTGTGCGGAGGAAATGCAGCCAACAGCCATGCTGTCAGGGGACACCGACACCAGAGCCAAGCCGTCGTCCTCTATGGGGGGGCGCTTGCTGCTCTGCGAGGACTCGGGCAGGGACGCGGGGTCCTGGGGCTGAGGGCCTGGCGTCCCCTCGGTCCCCGTGCCTGGCAGCAGCCCGAGGCCCGCCAGGTACTCCCTGGCCTCTGGGTCCCGGGGAACGCCCAGGGGCTGCAGCAGGGTGACCGTGTCCTCCTCGTGCCCCTGGGCGGCTTCTCGGCCGGGGCTGAACCACCAGTGGGTCCTGGCGTCCTCCGCACTGGGCCTCCCCGAGGCGTCGACCGTGAGCAGCCACGCCAGCAGCTCCTGCAGGGCCGGGCTGATGCCACGTGGCACCATGTAGACGCCGCACAGCACCCGGTCCTGCAGCTTGTGCATGTTCTTGCCGTGGAAGGGCACCGTGGCCGCCAGCATGGCAAACAGCACCACCCCCAGACTCCACACGTCGGCCTTGAAAGCGTCGTAGTCCTCCCCGAGGAAAACCTCTGGTGCGCGGTACTCGGGGGTCCCCCAGAAGCCCCTTACCAGCGTGCCCCGCTCCAGCCGCAGGCTCAGCCCGAAGTCCGCCAGCTTGATGGTCATGTGCTCGTCCAGCAGCAGGTTGCCCAGCTTGAGGTCCCGGTGCGCCACCCGCTGGCCATGGCAGTAGCTGACGGCGGCCAGCGCCTGGCCAAACAGGGCCCTGGCCTCGTCCTCGGCCAGGCCGCCCTGCCACCGCACGTAGTGATAGAGCGAGCCCCTGGTCGCCAGCTCCATGACCAGGAACAGGTGCTTCCTCGTGTGCCGCTCCTCCAGCAGCCGCACGATGTTGTCGTGCCGCAGGCTCCTCAGGATGGCCGCTTCCCCCTGCGCGGACAGCGGGCTGCTGGGAGAGGCGTCTCGCAGGATCTTCACTGCCACGTACTTGCCTGACGCCAGGTGCCGGGCCAGCTTCACCAGGCTGAAGCCGCCCCGGCCGATCACGTGCACAAAGTGGTACCCGTCCAGAGGAGGATGGACTTCCCAGGGGCCTTTCATGCCGCCGGTCACCTAACTACGCTCTCTCGACTCCCTAACCTGCTCGACACACGCTAGCTAATCACCGACCCTCACTGCACTGCCTACAACACAAAGGGACCACGGGGGCCTGACTGCCCAGCTGACTAAGACACAGCACCAGCTACTCTCACTGCTCTAGAGGCGAAGCCACAAGACTACCTCAATAAAGGAGAAAACAACAAAGAGGAAAAGCCACTAAATCCTCGAACGCTGATACTTCTGAGCGTGCTAGCTGACTAGAGTGGGGGAAGCAAAACTAAAGAAAACTGCAAAAAAAGTCCAAATGGGCAAAACAACAACGAGGAGGAAAACAACAAACTAAACAAAACGGGAAAAAGCAAAAACCAAACAGACCCAGAAACCAACAACCAAGAAAACGCACAAGCAGCACCAACGAGCGCAACGGCTGGTTAGATGGGTCCTAGTTACACAGATCACAAAAGCGTGCTCTCTGGGTAAGGCGGACGAAAACCCAGGCCCCGCAGCGGCCATATATACTTTTTGGGGGCTCACCTCACATAGTGGCGCCTTATGAAGTCAGAGCGAGAAACGGACCAATCCCAGCCCAGCCAGGGACTCTGTAATAATACGACTTTCCTAACAGTGAGGCATTATGAAGTCAGAGCAAGAAATTGACCAATCACGGCTGCAGATAATTCACGGGGGGTTTCGCAGGAATTTTATAATTAAATTAAAAAGATACCCTAAAAGCTTTTGCCTTTGATGGGTGATAGGGATTGATACTTCATTTTTGAGAAATTCAAACAAGTATGGTGCTTGGGTGGTCTGGTCTTGTCTAGTGTAAAAGGTGATAGTAATTTGTGTCTTTTGAAGACCTCCTAGTGTCTCCACTTAGTATATCCCCTCCTTTGCCTTTACCCTCTGAGTGATGGGTCTCTGAGTGATGGAACAACTTCTCTGGCCTCGGTAAACTCAACACGTGTTCTGTTGCCCAAGACACCGTGGCCAGGTACACTGTCCGCATCTCCAGAGCTGAGAGGAAGGTGGCTTTGTCACCCTTTCCCCCTAAGTCATGGTCCGATTTCTCGGCAGAAACCCCGAAGCCCAGAAGGCAGTGCGGTCCGTGCAGTCCAAACAGGGAAGGCCCAGTCAGTGGCAGCCGAGAAAGCTACATCCTCCGAGACTGTCCTCCGCCTGGTAGGGAGGACTCGAGGCTCTGCCAGGCACTTGGGGTTCTGGGCTCCTGTCACAACAACCACCAAAACTCCTGGCTCCCGCCTTCAGCCTGGCCTAGTCCTGGAGGTCATTTGTGGGCTGTAGCAGAGCATGGAGGAGTTCGCCCCTCCCTCACTAGCACTCTCTTTTCCCCTCTTCACGCTCACACAAATAGAATACAACTTAGAAAGAAAAAAGAAATGAGACTCCCTGCTTCAACTCCTCAGGACCTGCACAGCCCAGAAACGACGAGACTTGGCCGCATCACAGCCTCGGATCTGTCTCCTTGGGACAGCCTCGTGCTGAGCCCTCAGGACCAGTGTTTCTCCCGAGGAAGCCACAACCTCGTCTCAGGTAGGAAATGAGCCCGGGAACCCCCACCCCACACAGCAGGTGGAGCGGTGTCTCCTGCAGTTCTTGAGGAGCCCCCAGGGCCCAGCACTGCCGTGGGCCCAGGAACACGTGGTGGTCCCTCTGCACCGACTGCCCAAGCCCTCTTGGAGAGGAACCCTCCCTGGGGAGATGACCCCTCCTCCAGTTGCCCAGGGACATTGCACGGTGCGATTACTCTGTGATTTCCTGCAGTGCTGGTCCCTGCCTCAAGGCTGGTGGGGAAGAACCAGCACCCCAGGAATTCTCACTACAGTTTCATTACTGAAGCAAAAAAAAATTAAAGTATGATGACTCTTGTTACTGTTTTCCATTAAGTAAAGGTAATACCAATCTTACTTCTATGGTTTTTTTCTTTCTCTTTATTCTTTGATTGATTGATTTGAAAGGCAGAGTTACACAGGATCAGAAGTGCAGAGAATGAGAGAGGTCCTCCATCTGCTGGTCCACTCCCCAAATGGCCACAAATGCCGTGCTGTGCTGAGCCAGGAGCCAGGAGCTTCTTCTAGGTCTCCCTCATGGAGAGAGGGGTCCCAGGACTTGGGCCATCTTGTACTGTTTTCCCGGGCCATAACAGAGTGCTAGATAGGAAGTGGAGCAGCCAGGGCTCGAACCAGTGCCCATAGGTGATGCCTGTACCCTGGGCCATGTCTTTATCTGTTACTCCACAGCACTGGCCCCCAAATTTTGACTTTTCTATGGCAGATAAATAAAGATGAAACACAGGGTACTTCCTAAACGTCACCACAAAAATAGAATTCATTTTTTATTTAGGTCCAAACCAGTTTTGAAACTTGATAGTTATTACTTAGCAAACTTTGACCATGAAGTTTCGCACCAAACCGTCTTATCCTTTAATTCCATTTCCTTGAAGTTTTCCAAGTCCCTTCAAGTAGCACAGCCCTAGAAAAGCTGAGTTCCCATCCGGACTGCAAAGCCGCGGCCGTAAGGACGAGAGATACCCCCAGCTCTCATTCTCATTGCTCCTCCCCAGTGCTGGTGGGAGCCTTGCACACCCACCTGGTTCTAGAAAATCCATCTCCCCTGAGGTATGTGATGGCCCCGAGACTCTGTGTCCCCCAGCTCTGCTCAGCAGTAGCCTCAACATGCTGCTAAAGTCCTATCTTGTCCACGCTGGACTAAAACGTGGCTTTCTAGAAATGGACAGGATGTGTAGCAAGGAGAGAGTGGGGTCTGCTCCGGGTCCAACCAGCCTTCATGCCCGTGCAGTCAGCTTCCACCATGTGAGTTGATGCGGTTCTCCTTGCCGCCTGCCCCTCCCTCTCCTCTGTTCAGACAGTGGATTGAGTCCCATTCCTCCTCGCTCTGGGAGCACGGGGACTGCTGGCTGTGCCCCCTTAGTCATCATCTCCCTGTTCTTGCAAACGTTGAGGCCCCGCATTTTAGCGGTGCATCTAGCCGCCCAGAGTAGAGACTACATTTCCAGCCTTCCCGGTTGTTGGGTGGGCTACACCACCAGATTCGGGTGGGCACTCACGAGGTGAATGGAGCAATGTGCGCACGGCTCTGTTCCTGCCCTTAAAAGTCAGGGCAGTCCCTTCCCTCTGGCTTCTCCCTTTCCTGCTGGCCCAACACAGATCCAGGAACGCGGTAGAGAAATCTTTGGACTAAGGGATGGCCTGAGAAAGCAGCAGAAGACAGCCCAAGTGTTTGGGCACCTGCCACCCACATGGGAGACCTGGAAGAAGGTTCTAGCTCTTGGCTGTGGCCTGGCCCAGCTCTGGCTGTTGCCAGAGTCAAAGTAGGGAGTAAAGTAGGGGAGTAAAGTAGCAGATGGAAAATCTCTCCCTCTCTGCGGAGCACTGGGGCCACCCGGGGTGACAGGCCTGCCAGCCTGGGGCCCAGCCCTGCTCTCAGGGTCAGGACAAGCTCAGGTGACCGGGAGGCCCTGGGACATCCTGCCCATGACCACTTTGGTCCCTGCACAGGAAAGCCCGAGATGGTGGATGCCCCGAGACCCTTCCCCAACCACAGCCTCATGCCTCCCGTGGGAATCCAGGTCACCAGGACCCTGGACCCTGTCCTAATTCGCAAGCTCCCTGCCCACCAGCCCTCTGCTATGCTGTCATTGCTATCCATCGCCCTCCTGATCCCAGGCTGGAGACAAGCCTAAGGCTGGGAGCCAGGCCAAGCCTCCCAGAGGGACTGCTCCTTCCATAGCTCTCAAAGCTGAAATGCCAGCGTGGAGAGGCCGCAGACATTGCACAGGGCCTGGTCAGGAGCTCAGCAGTGCACTCAGCAACCCGGCCTCCTGGGGGCCTCGCCCAGGCCACCTCTGTGACCCCTGACAGGGCCTGGTCCCTGGACCATTGCCATTGTGCAGTGGGCCCTGGGGAAGACTCTTGCACACTCACTGGCAGGAACTGGGGTTTCCACGGGACTTCAATGGTGGGACCCAGGTAACGTGCAGGTCGGGAGTCACAGGGTCTCCTATGCCCAGCACACGGCTCAGAGCCCTGTCACTCAGGACAGCTGTGAAGCACTGGTCACTCATTGGGGTGACCTTGATAACTCTCTGAGTCACTTCCCCATGGAACATTCCAGAGGCACTGCATGTGTGACGCGAGCACCTGCTGGAGCCCACGCAGCCCAGTTCTGTGCACGGAGCATCCATGTAACCTCAGATCTGGAAGAAAGCTCCTTCACTAAACACAGCCTACCTGTCCCAGAAATGTGGAAGTGAGGAAGACCGGGGTGGGGGAGGTCCCATCCTCCAGTGTCCCCAGGTGGGGCAGAGGGTCCTGTCCTCTCCAGTAGGTCTCAAGCCTTTCTTTCAGTTCCCTGGGAACTTGGAAGGCCTGGGTGCTGCCAAGGGCCTCCTGAACTAAAACCAGGTCCTCGTCCTGCCCACGTCCTCTTGCATTTGGGCCTCACCGTGGGCAGGCCGGGCACACAGCACAGCGTGGACGTCCTGCCCGGCTCCACCTGCAGCTGTTGGACTGCAGAGTCGGTGGATCCCATACCCCATGAGGTCAGGTGCATGGCCCTCGGGGGAATGGGGTCGTGTTCTCCCTTGACAATGCAGGAGGTGTTGGATAGGACACTGACAGCTCTGTTGCAATGCACAGCTCTGTGGACTGGGACCTCCCTGCTGTGCCAGAGACCTCAGACCCCGACCCTCGTGTGCCTGTGCCATGTGGCCGAGTGACTCCCCCTCCCTCCCTGTCTCCCGCCCAGCCTCTGGGAGGCGTCACTCTATGATCTGCTTCTATGAGGTCACCCCTTCTGTGACCCCCACACGGGTGTGATCGCCCAGTGTTGGTCTTTCCATGAGAAAGTACCGCCCACACCTCCATCTCCTCCCCGCGGTGCACACAGGGACCCAAACATAACATGGGACCAAAGCCATGCACAAAGGTGAAGTTTATTCATGAGAAGCATTTGCAAATGCTCACGAAAAACGTTCAGTCAGCTCAGCCTGCGCATTGCTCCTGGTGACGGGGGCGGAGCGAGGCTACTTGGGGGCCACTCTGCAGCAGCGGAGGCCAGGGCCGCTCCCTCTGGACGGCAGGATGCGGCACGCCCTCAGCAGGAACCGGAGGATCCTCCTGCCCACCCCGCGCCGGCCCTGCCTCTTGCCCTGGGCGCTGGCTGTGCAGTCTGTGGTGGCAGCGGTGGCTGCGGTCCCAGCCCCCTCAGGCTCACGGGCAGCTGCGGCGGCTTCTGGCTCTGCGAGGTCCACACGGCTCCTGGCACTGGGGCTGGAGGGCGACGCCTTGGAGGCTGGCTCGGGGGCTGCGCTGGGAGCAGGGCTCCTCTCCTGCGGTGGCTGGCCTGGTAGGTGAGTCAAGAAGGGGTCACCAAGGGGGCCTAGGGCTCAGCCAAAGAGTACCCGAGCTGGCTGGGGCTGGGAGGGAGAGGGGAAGACTCACTGGAGGGCTCGGCGGAGTCGGGGGCTGCGCTGGGAGCAGGGCTCCTCGCCTGCTGTGGCTGGCCTGGTAGGAGAGAGTCAAGACTGGGGTCACTTCGGGGCCTTGGGCTCAGGAGGCCCCCAAGTGGCAGGGGATGTGGGAAGTGGGCAAGACTCACTGGAGAGCTCGGTGGAGTCGGGGGCGGCGCTGGGAGCAGGGCTCCTCTCTGGCTGTGGCTGGCCTGGTAGGAGAGAGTCAAGGGTGGGGTCACCTCGGGGACCTTGGACTCAGCTCCTGGAGGGCCCAAGGCAGGAGGGGCTGGGAAGGGAGAGGGCAAGACTCACTGGGGGCCTCGGAGGAGTCGCTTTGTGCGGAGGAAATGCAGCCAACAGCCATGCTGTCAGGGGACACGGACACCAGAGCCAAGCCGTCGTCCTCTATGGGGGGGCGCTTGCTGCTCTGCGAGGACTCGGGCAGGGACGCGGGGTCCTGGGGCTGAGGGCCTGGTGTCCCCTCGGTCCCCATGCCTGGCAGCAGCCCGAGGCCCGCCAGGTACTCCCTGGCCTCTGGGTCCCGGGGAACGCCCAGGGGCTGCAGCAGGGTGACCGTGTCCTCCTCGGGCTCCTGGGCGGCTTCTCGGCCGGGGCTGAACCACCAGTGGGTCCTGGCGTCCTCCGCACTGGGCCTCCCCGAGGCGTCGACCGTGAGCAGCCACGCCAGCAGCTCCTGCAGGGCCGGGCTGACGCCACGTGGCACCACATAGACGCCGCACAGCACCCGGTCCTGCAGCTTGTGCATGTTCTTGCCGTGGAAGGGCACTGTGGCCGCCAGCATGGCAAACAGCACCACCCCCAGACTCCACACGTCGGCCTTGAAAGCGTCGTAGTCCTCCCCGAGGAAAACCTCTGGTGCGCGGTACTCGGGGGTCCCCCAGAAGCCCCTTACCAGCGTGCCCCGCTCCAGCCGCAGGCTCAGCCCGAAGTCCGCCAGCTTGATGGTCATGTGCTCATCCAGCAGCAGGTTGCCCAGCTTGAGGTCCCGGTGTGCCACGCGCTGGCCATGGCAGTAGCTGACGGCGGCCAGCGCCTGGCCAAACAGGGCCCTGGCCTCGTCCTCGGCCAGGCCGCCCTGCCACCGCACGTAGTGCTGGAGCGAGCCCCTGGTCGCCAGCTCCATGACCAGGAACAGGTGCTTCCTCGTGTGCCGCTCCTCCAGCAGCCGCACGATGTTGTCGTGCCGCAGGCTCCTCAGGATGGCCGCTTCCCCCTGCGCGGACAGCGGGCTGCTGGGAGAGGCGTCTCGCAGGATCTTCACTGCCACGTACTTGCCCGACGCCAGGTGCCGGGCCAGCTTCACCAGGCTGAAGCCGCCCCGGCCGATCACGTGCACAAAGTGGTACCCGTCCAGAGGAGGATGGACGTCCAAGAGGCCTTTCATGCCGCCGGTCACCTAACTACGCTCTCTCGACTCCCTAACCCGCTCGACACACGCTAGCTAATCACCGACCCTCACTGCACTGCCTACAACACAAAGGGACCACGGGGGCCTGACTGCCCAGCTGACTAAGACACAGCACCAGCTACTCTCACTGCTCTAGAGGCGAAGCCACAAGACTACCTCAATAAAGGAGAAAACAACAAAGAGGAAAAGCCACTAAATCCTCGAACACTGATACTTCTGAGCGTGCTAGCTGACTAGAGTGGGGGAAGCAAAACTAAAGAAAACTGCAAAAAAAGTCCAAATGGGCAAAACAACAACGAGGAGGAAAACAACAAACTAAACAAAATGGGAAAAAGCAAAAACCAAACAGACCCAGAAACCAACAACCAAGAAAACGCACAAGCAACACCAACGAGCGCAACGGCTGGTTAGATGGGTCCTAGTTACACAGATCACAAAAGCGTGCTCTCTGGGTAAGGCGGACGAAAACCCAGGCCCCGCAGCGGCCATATATACTTTTTGGGGGCTCACCTCACATAGTGGCGCCTTATGAAGTCAGAGCGAGAAACGGACCAATCCCAGCCCAGCCAGGGACTCTGTAATAATACGACTTTCCTAACAGTGAGGCATTATGAAGTCAGAGCAAGAAATTGACCAATCACGGCTGCAGATAATTCACGGGGGGTTTCGCAGGAATTTTATAATTAAATTAAAAAGATACCCTAAAAGCTTTTGCCTTTGATGGGTGATAGGGATTGATACTTCATTTTTGAGAAATTCAAACAAGTATGGTGCTTGGGTGGTCTGGTCTTGTCTAGTGTAAAAGGTGATAATAATTTGTGTCTTTCGAAGACCTCCTAGTGTCTCCACTTAGTATATCCCCTCCTTTGCCTTTACCCTCTGAGTGATGGGTCTCTGAGTGATGGAACAACTTCTCTGGCCTCGGTAAACTCAACACGTGTTCTGTTGCCCAAGACACCGTGGCCAGGTACACTGTCCGCATCTCCAGAGCTGAGAGGAAGGTGGCTTTGTCACCCTTTCCCCCTAAGTCATGGTCAGATTTCTCGGCAGAAACCCCGAAGCCCAGAAGGCAGTGCGGTCCGTGCAGTCCAAACAGGGAAGGCCCAGTCAGTGGCAGCCGAGAAAGCTACATCCTCCGAGACTGTCCTCCGCCTGGTAGGGAGGACTCGAGGCTCTGCCAGGCACTTGGGGTTCTGGGCTCCTGTCACAACAACAGCCAAAACTCCTGGCTCCCGCCTTCAGCCTGGCCTAGTCCTGGAGGCCATTTGTGGGCTGTAGCAGAGCAGGGAGGAGTTCCCCCCCCCCCCACTAGCACTCTCTTTTCCCCTCTTCACGCTCACACAAATAGAATACAACTTAGAAAGAAAAAAGAAATGAGACTCCCTGCTTCAACTCCTCAGGACCTGCACAGCCCAGAAACGACGAGACTTGGCCGCATCATAGCCTCGGATCTGTCTCCTTGGGACAGCCTCGTGCTGAGCCCTCAGGACCAGTGTTTCTCCCGAGGAAGCCACAACCTCGTCTCAGGTAGGAAATGAGCCCGGGAACCCCCGCCCCGCACAGCAGGTGAGCGGTGTCTCCTGAGACAAGGCAGGCTAGTGTGCGGAAGATCGGAGTCCTCCTGTCTCACATCTTTCCAAGTCTGTTGCCCACTAAGCCAGGAGTCTGGCTTTGTCCATCTTTATGAATGGAAACTCCTGTCTGGTGGGTGCTGGCTGGAGCAATGCTGCCCCCTTGTGGCCAGATATGACAGTGCCATCAGTGGGTGTGCGGGAGGCTCAGCGTGACCCTCAGGGACCCCTGCCCCCACCCCACTTCTCTTGTGATCTCAGGCTGCCATCTGTCTGAAGGTCTCCAGAGAACCCGGTGGGAGGCAAGGGGGAGGGGGAACAGGGCGGGAGAGGGCACCTGAGCCATGCTCCTCCACCACGGCCACGCTCTGTGACCTCTTCCCACTTCCCCGCCCCTGGGTGCCACCTGGATTCCAAGGCCTGGTTCAGTTCTGCCCCTCAGCGCTCCCTGTGCCCACCACAGGCCAGTAGGGGACTCCCCAGGCCCTACAGTTCAGTGCTTGGGGCGCTGGTTGGTCCCCCACGCTGCATGAGGATCAGGCCGGGCTGTGGATCCCAACCTTGCCCCAACTGCCTGAGGCCACAGAAAGGTACAGCTTGTCCAGGGAGCACTGGGAGCCATTAATGGTGTGTGTGTGTGTGTGTGTGTGTGAATGTGTGAATGCTGGTGGGGACCGCTACTCGAAGCTGGGATGTCACTGTGAAGGTGCTGGCTGCTGTCCCCAAGGCCAGCTCCACCCCACCAAGCCCCGCGTGGTAACCCCAGGCCTGCCCCTGGAAGTTTTCTTGAGAGATGGCCACAGCAGCATAGTGCCCCTGGAGTCACCTTCCTATCTCAAGGCCGCACCCCTGCTTTCTCCCGGGCGGAGCCCAGCGGGCCCTGGGCGGGAGCAGAAGGGATGGAGAGGCTGCCCAGGAAGATCCCGGCCGCCAGCCTCGCCCGCTGAGGAACTGCCACTCTGAGTGCTCAGGCCGGGCCACAGCCAGCGAGCACCCCTCATCTCTATGCCCACGAAGTACAGGTGTTGTAGCACTGCCCCCTGCATGCCACAGGCCCCGCCTCCCACATGCCCTGGCCAAGGGGCCTGGCTGCAGGCTTGGGCTGTCTGTGTCACTTCCCTTGTGGCTGGCGCATGGCATTGGCTGTGTACACGGACTCCCTCACCCTTTCTGGCCCACAGGTGGTAAGCAGCTACCTAGTGGGGAAGACCGTCATTGAGACCAGATCACTCCCAGGTCGCAAAATCTCCATTTAAAGTGTGGGAATCGCTGGCGCCATGGCTCACTAGGCTAATCCTCCACCTTGTGGTGCCCGCACACCGGGTTCTAGTCCCGGTCGGGGCACCGGATTCTGTCCCGGTTGCCCCTCTTCCGGGCCAGCTCTCTGCTGTGGCCTGGGAGTGCAGTGGAGGATGGCCCAAGTGCTTGGGCCCTGCACCCCATGGGAGACCAGGAGAAGCACCTGGCTCCTGGCTTCGGATCAGCGCAGTGCGCCGGCTGCAGTGGCCATTGGAGGGTGAACCAACGCAAAAGGAAGACCTTTCTCTCTCTCTCACTGTCCACTCTGCCTGTCAAAAAAATAAATAAATAAAGTGTGGGAATCAGCTCTGTGCGACCCCCAGGATCTCTCACCCTCCCCCAGGAAACCCTGTACCCATGAGCAATCACCCCGACTCCCCTCCTGCCAGCGCTCTCTGACCTCTGCATGCACCGATTCAATTCCAGGCACTTCTTGCAAACGGAACCGTACAATATGCAGTCTTTTGTGACTGGCTCTTTTTATTGGCTGGTATCATTGAGAACATTCTGTCATTCTCCAGGCCCTTCCATAAAGTAGCACAAATTTGAACCCATGGATGGAAGATCTCTTTAGATTCATTTATTTATTTATTTGAAAGGTAGAGTTACAGAGACAGGACAGAGAGAGAGAGAGAGTGAAATGGAGGGAGAGAGAGAAGTCTTCCATCTGCTGGTTCATTCCTCAAATGACCACAACAGTGGGGCTGGGCCAGGCCAGAGCCAGGAATCTGGAACTCCATCCAGGTCTCCCACATGGGTGCAGGGGACCAACTACTCAGACCATCTTCCTCTGCTTTCCCATGCACATCAGCAGGGAGTTGGATCAGAAGTGGAGCATCCAGGACTCAAACAAGTACTCAGATGGGGTGCTGGCATCTCAAATGGCAGCTTAAGCTGCTGTGCGCTATGAGTTTATTCTTATGGCTGCATAGTATTCCACCATGTGGATAAACGCATTTTATTTTTTTTTTTTTAATTTTTTTAACAGGCAGAATGGACAGTGAGAGAGAGAGACAGAGAGAAAGGTCTTCCTTTGCCGTTGGCTCACCCTCCAATGGCCCCATGGCCGGCATGCTGCGGCCAGCGCACCGCGCTGATCCGAAGGCAGGAGCCAGGTGCTTATCCTGGTCTCCCATGGGGTGCAGGGCCCAAGCACCTGGGCCATCCTCCACTGCACTCCCTGGCCACAGCAGAGAGCTGGCCTGGAAGAGGGGCAACCAGGACAGAATCTGGTGCCCCGACCAGGACTAGAACCCGGTGTGCTGGCGCCACAAGGCAGAGGATTAGCCTAGTGAGCCGTGGTGCCGGCACGTGTTTTATTTGTCCATACGTTGGCACTTGGGTTGCGTCCACTGCCCACTGTGGGGATTCACGCTGTTTGTGTGGAGCCCACTGTGTGCGTCTCTCGGGTGGACATGCAGGAGAGGCCAGGCCGTGTCTGACGTTCTAAGGAGTGGCCACACGGCTGTCCTGGGAGGCTGCACCCACGCACGTTCCCAGCAGGAGGGCGGGCTGCGACTTCCCAGCATCCTCTCCGACACTTGCTGTTACCAGTCTTTTTAATTCTCTTCCCTTCCAGCAGGTGTGGAGTGTGGGCCAGGGCTCTCGGGTTCTCTCTGCTTCAGGGAGCTCTTGCTTTCTGCCCATCCCCCATCACCACCCAAGCAGGCTCTCATGCTTTGGCTTTGAACAAAACAGAAAAGGAACTCCCTCCACCCTTCCGCTTTCCTCCTCTGTACAACAGAGCTGCCTCGACCGGTCCTCAGCTCTCTCCATTCATCCTCACTTGGCCTGACCCCTGCGGGACCTTTGGCCCCACTCTAGCACCAAAACCGTTCTCGGGGTTCCCAGCGACCTCACCGCCCTGACAGCCCCTGCTTCCCTCTGTCTTCTGACTGGGGTTCCAGGGGGAGGGCTTCTCATGTGGTCCCCTCCCTGCCCCTCCTCTGGTCCCTCCACACTGTCCTGACCTCAGCAGGAGGCACAGGCCCCAGAGGGCTCTGTCCTTGGCCCCACACCACGCTCTGTGCCTGCGGAGACTTCGGGATTTCTGCCAGCCTCGCCACTTTCAACATCATCCAAGCACCGGGGACTCTCAGACTCCTCCCCCAACACACAGACGGACACACAGACACAGACACGTCATCCGCTGGCCTCCAAACTCCATGTGGCGCTCCGGCGTCTCCCTGGGACCTCCAGCCTCATGTCTCACAAGAGCAGCATGTCCTTAGCGTCATCCTCACCTCTCCCACATCCCGAAAAACCCCAACGCTCTCCCTGCTGGCCTCAGCTATCCCCAGGCCATGCCACCACTGCCTCCTGCTTGGAGATGACCCCGGGACCTCTTCATCCAGGCCCCTGCTGCCCCCGACCCCACACTCTGTTCCCAGCAGCATCCCCAGAAAGAGCCTTTTACAATACATGCTGGCTTGTGCCCATCCTGTGAAGGGAGCCCCAGTGTTCAGAGGCAAAGCCCTCAGGCTCCGGCCCCTACCTTGCCCCCTGCCAGCCGCCTCACTGCCCCTGTCTCCTCCCCCTCCCACCAGGCACACCTGGATCTAACAGCTGCTGCTCCCTCTGCCTGGTTGCTCGAGGTCAGGAATCTTGGAGAGTCTCTCGTCTCTCTCCAGACTTTTCTCAATGTCACTGCCCTGGCAAGGCCACATCTGGCCGCTCTGCAAACCCACGACTGCCCGAGCACTCCCCACCTGCTTCCTGCTTCTCTCTGCTCGGTGCCTAGCCCTCTGCCATGTTTATTTCATGCGTTGGCCTTGCTTGGTGCCTGTCTCCCCGCCAGAATGTAGGGCAGGGCTTTTAGTCTGCTTTGTGCCCTGCTCCTGCACGCAGTAGGTGCTGAATAAATATTTGTTCAATGAGTGAATGGAGCCCACAGTCTGGAACTTCCTTCTGACACCTGGTGGCTGCCAGGGAGCAGCCCCACGGCGATGCCACAGGTGGCCAGCAGGTGACACTGTGACTACAGAAATGACAGGCCACTGGCGGCAGCCACAGTTCTCTGTCCACCCATGCACCTGCTCCAGAGGTAAAATGCTGGGATGTGCATGGGACAGTGTGCCTGCCTCACAGGTCAACCTCTGCCTGTTTCTCATCTCCCGGCAAGACTCAGGAGAACCTGTGACTGCCTCTGTGTGGCTGAGTGCCACCAGGCCCAGGGGACCATGAGGTATACGAATGGGGCAAAGCCCCAGGGGCTTCCCAGCCTGCATCCTCTCTGATCTCAGCCATGGGGCTCATCCTGCTGTCCTGGGACTGCCTGGATCCCTGGGCCTGAGTCCAGCTCTGCCCGTGCTTGGCAGTGCTCTCTTTCTCTAAAAATGGCTTATTTATCTATTTTTATTTATTATTATTTAAAAATGGCTTATTTATCTGTTTATTTTAAAAGCAGAGAGTGCAGGAGAGAGACAGAGAACTCTCATCCACCGTGCACTCTGCAGACGCCTGCATAAGCCAGGGCTGGGAGCTGCGTTGTGGTGCAGCAGGTTAAGCCACCACATGGGACGCTGGATCCCATAGCAACACCCGTTCAAGTCTCTGCTGCTCCACTTCCAATCCAACTGTCTGCTAATGAGCCCAGAAAAGCACCTGAAGATGGCCCAAGTGCTTGGGCTCCTACCACCCATGTGGGAGACCCATATAGAGCTCCTGGCTTTGGCCTGGGCGGGCCCTGGCCACTGCAGCCATCTAGGGAGTGAATCAGCAGGTGGAAGATCTCTCTGTCTTGCTCTTTCTCTCCCTCTCTCTTTCTGTAACTCTGCCTTTCAAAACAAATGAATCTTTAAAAAGTTCTTGTTTTTTTTAAAGGCCAGGGCTGGCCCAGGGCGGGTCTGGGGACCTGGAACCCCCTCCAGGTCTGCTGTGTGGGTGGCAGAGGCTCAGTGACTCGAGCCATCACCGCTGCCTCCCAGGGTGTGCATTGGCAGAGGCTGGAATCAGAAGCTGTAGGCGGGAGCAGAAGCCAGCCCTCTGGTGCCGGATGTGGGCGCCCTCGCTGCTACTGGCCCAACACCGGCTTCATGGGCTCTGCTCTCCCTCCTCGGGAGGTGAGGGATGCCAAGGGACCCTCAGCCCTCCCCGTGGGTGTGAGGAGCTGTGAGCAGGGACTCTGGGCCCAGAGCAGGGCCCATTCCCGGCTCTGCTGGCCTCCCGGTTGGGTGCCCTTGGCCAAGCGCTCAGCCTTGGCTTTGTACCTTTTGTACCCTGGGAAAGACGTGGCCACGCTGGAGGTGGCAGGGAGGGTGGGCCTCGCTGGTGATCAGGCCAGGACGGAAGGCGGGGTGGGGGGGCTGGGTGCCTAGTGCTCCTACACCTGCTCTGCTGTGCGTGTGATTCGTCTCCCTCGTGTCAGGTGCCATGCCCAGCTTCTGGGGCCTTTGCACTGCATTTGGGGAGCCAAGAATTAACAGAAGAGACAGGACTAAACCTACACGACACAAAGTTAATGGACAAACGTGAGCAGGTGGCGAGTGTTCAGTGTGAAGGACAGTGAGACAGTGTGAAGGACCCGGGGGTGAGTCTGGCTGGAGACGGGGCTGCTGTGTGTCCAGGGAGGTTGTGGTAGGATGACGGGCTGGGGGTGAGAAGGGAAGAGGGGCACGCTTCTCTCCAGGGAGAGACTGAGGCAGCAAGGCCCTGGAAGCCCCGGATGCTCAGAGACCCCCAGCAGGAGGCTGTCCCTCCCCAGGGCAGCTGGCCTTTGAGGCTCCCATTGCTGCCATCCCGAATCCCAAGCCTGTGTACAGCCTGGCCCTGGAGGCCTGGGCCGACTCTGCCCCTCTTCTAGTCCGCCTGGCTCGGAGGCCCTCTGCTGGCCCCTCTGGCTCCCCGTGCCCCTCCCGCACACAGAGCCAAGCAGGCGCTCCCTTAGACTAATTCCTCTGCTGCCCGGCCGGCCCCTCCGACCCATCTTTCATTCCTGGACAGCGCCGTTCTCCGCTCTACCACGACGCAAGCATCAACATTTCATCCTGCTTCGCCGCCGGCTCCCCGCTCTGTCCCACCTGCTTCCCACGGCTCTAGGACCTGCAAGGCTGGGGCAAGCCGGGTGTCACTGAGGATGCCAGGCTGCCTTCTCAGGTCCCTGAGCTTACCTCCGTGCCTTCGCCACATGCTAAGTCTGCCCTGGGGCAGGCGGGGTGGCCCGCTCTTTCCTGTCTTTGCAGGGGTGCCAGGATGGGAGCTGAGGGTGCAACATTCCCAGCACACCTCCTACCCCAGTGTCTTGTCTTTCTCCCAGCCACCCCTGCAGGTGCTCAGGCCCACAGGGCTGGGCATTGCATCTGGAGAGGCCCTTATGGGGGCTGGGTCTGGGCTGTGCGGGTTCTTCTGCATGGGTGTGGACCCACCCTTTTTTTTTTTTTTTTTTTTACAGGCAGAGTGGACAGTGAGAGAGAGAGAGACAGAGAGAAAAGTCTTCCTTTGCCATTGGTTCACCCTCCAATGGCCGCCGCGCTGATCTGAAGCCAGGAGCCAGGTGCTTCTCCTGGTTTCCCATGGGGTGCAGGGCCCAAGGACTTGGGCCATCCTCTACTGCACTCCCGGGCCATAGCAGAGAGCTGGCCTGGAAGAGGGGCTACCAGGACAGAATCCAGCGCCCCGACCGGTACTAGAACCCGGTATGCCAGAGCCACAAGGCGGAGGATTAGCCTATTAAGCCACGGCACCGGCCTGGACCCATCCTTACACACACACACACACACACACAATCAAGTGTGAGGTGCGTGCGTGTCTGTGTGTGGGCAGGAAAACAGGCATTACTTCTTGGGGGAGGGGCCTGACTTTGGTCAGATTCTCTGTGAGGCGTAAAAACCATGAAATTCTAGGCAGGTCAGATATTCTCTTTTCAGTGTGGAAGGAAGAGAGGGAATGAGGTTACTGGCCCACAGAGCCGCCGCGAGGTGAGTGTGTGTGACTGTGGGCGTTACGGGTGTACAAAGGGACACTTTTGCTCGTGCGAGTATGTGTGGCTGTGCAAGCCTGGCAGCTGGGGGTGGCCCTGGGACCACGGGGACCACAGTGTCGCTGGCCTGCTCAGGAGGAACCCATGTGCCTGGCAGGGAAGGAAGCAGTGACACACGGGTGGCCCACTGCCAGCCTGGGCCTCTGTGCGGGGCCCACGACCCCATATACTCACCAGGACCCCATGATGGGCCAGGCCCTACCCCAGGTGATGTGGAGCGGGCCAGCCTGGTGTGACGCCCGGGGTGAGGTTTGTGTCCCCCGCGATGGCCCAGCCCAGCCTGGCCTGGCCTGGTGTGACGCCCAGGGTAAGGTTTGTGTTCCCCGTGATGGCACAGTCCAGCCTGGCGTGACGCCGGGGTGAGGTTTGTGTCCCCCGCGATGGCCCAGCCCAGCTTGGCCTGGCCTGGTGTGACGCCCAGGGTAAGGTTTGTGTTTCCCGTGATGGCGCAGTCCAGCCTGGCGTGACGCCGGGGTGAGGTTTGTAGCACAGACCCTGAGATCTGCTCCCTGTCTTCTGCTGTGGCTGCTCCTATGCACAGAGCTAATTCTGTGACATTTGGAGTATGAAGGCTTCCCCTTGGATCTCGCCTCATTATTTCCCATTTCTTCTCCCTGTCTCTTGATTGTTCTACCAGACCAGGGAAGTTCATCACGAGCGTGGCGCATCTGGTCACCTGGCCAGGGCTGGGGACTCCCGCGCTCCCCTGCTGGGCTGTTCCTCACTTTCTGTCTCTGTACCTCCCCTCTGCTTCCTTTCTCCTCTGGTTTGATGAGGCCCAGCCACTCCTTTTCTTTTCTCTTTATGAGATTGTATTTTTTATTTATTTGAAAAGCAGAGAGAGAGAGAGAGAGAGGAGAGAGAGGAGAGAGAGAGAGTCCATCTGCTGGTTCACTGTCCAAATGGCCACAATGACCAGGACTGGGCCAGGCTGAAGCCAGGAGCCAGGAGCTTCTTCCGGGTCTCCCACGTGGGTGCAGGGGTTTATTCCCTGGGGAGGTCACTGACCTTCTTGTGCCTGGTTCCCTGTGACTGGCACGTGAGCCCTGCCATCTGAAGTCTGGTGCCAGGAATAGGCGGGAGGGGCAGGGGAAGCAGGAGCGGTTGGTACAGAAAGGAGACACCCAACGGGAGGGTTGGGAGGCCCTGGGTGGGGGAGGAGGGAGCCGGGAAAGACCAGCAGCCAGGCATCCCTGAGCCTCAGGACGTCCCCACCCCCCTTCACCTCTGCAGCTTTGACCAACAGGGCCTGGACTGCGGGGTGGGGAGAGGGCGGGACAGAGAGAGGTGACTTTGGCATGGAAGTCAGAGGCAGAGGCACCCCACTTCCCGCCATCCTGGGTCTGGGGCCCTCACTCCAGTCCTCAGCCCCACCCCGATTCCTTGTGCCCGGCTCCTCCTGCACCAACACACAGCCTGGGGAAGAGGAGTCTGTGGGAGGGGAAGTAGGGGCTGGCGCCACGGCTGAGGATATAGCTGGGATGTGAACACTCATGTCTGTGGATGAGGTTGGCCGCTCACTCTGGGGGGGGGGGGCTGCTCCCGCGCATCTGGTCCTGGCCTGGACCCCAGAGGTGGGTGGCCTTGTGGCCAGGTGAGAAGGTGGAAGCAAGAGACACGTGACTTCCTGAGCAGGCCTGGAACCAGGGCCTCGTGGTGCAGCTGGTGCTCCCTGGCACAGGTGACTGCCACTCTTAGGAGGATGGGGCTGATTAGGTGCTCTGCCCTTGACCTGCGTGCTGGAGGGACCCAGGGAAGATGGGAGCATTCCTGGAGGAAGGGGCCATCTGGAGAAAAAGCTCCAAGTCACAGGCTTGCCCTGAGCTGCACCTGCTCTCTGCAGCCATGCCTCTCCTTCTCCCTGGGGTCCCAAGGCCTGGGGAGCCCCGGCTGGGGTCTGTCTGCAGCGGGGAGCCTGGGTGCAGCTGAAGTGCCGGACGATTGACTACCCCCAAGAATCAGAGACCACCAGAGTCCAAAGTTTAAGCAAATTGCAGGGATCATTTATTTCGAGTTCGAACTCGGACTCTCCTGGCTTTCCCAATAACAGTGGTACAGCAGAGGAGAGCCCCAGCCCAGTTCACACAGAGCTTATATAATCGGGTACAAACAGGTACGTACGTAAGCACTTCTTTCTTTTTTTCTTTCTTTCTTTCTTTCTTTCTTTCTTTCTTTCTTTCTTTCTTTCTTTCTTTCTTTTTCTTTCTTTCTTTCTTTCTTTTTTTTTTTTTTATAGGCAGAGTGGACAGTGAGAAAGAGAGACAGAGAGAAAGGTCTTCCTTTTGCCGTTGGTTCACCCTCCAATGGCCGCCGCAGTTGGCACTCTGCGGCCAGCGCACCACACTGATCCGATGGCAGGAACCAGGTACTTATCCTGGTCTCCCATGGGGTGCAGGGCCCAAGCACTTGGGCCATCCTCCACTGCACTCCCGGGCCACAGCAGAGAGCTGGCCTGGAAGAAGGGCAACTGGGACAGAATCCGGCGCCCCGACCGGAACTAGAACCTGGTGTGCTGGCGCCACTAGGCGGGGGATTAGCCTATTGAGCCATGGCGCCAGCCTTGTAAGCACTTTCTTATACCCTATATGGCTGTCTTTTTTTTTTTTTTTTTTTTTGACAGGCAGAGTGGACAGTGAGAGAGAGAGAGAGACAGAGAGAAAGGTCTTCCTTTTGCCATTGGTTCACCCTCCAATGGCCGCTGCGGCTGGCATGCTGTGACCGGCGCTCCGTGCTGATCCGAAGGCAGGAGCCAGGTGCTTATCCTGGTCTCCATGGGGTGCAGTGCCCAAGACCTTGGGCCATCCTCCACTGCACTCCCGGGCCACAGCAGAGAGCTGGCCTGGAAGAGGGGCAACCGGGACAGAATCCAGCACCCTGACAGGGACTAGAACCTGGTGTGCCGGTGCCGCAAGGCGGAGGATTAGCCTATTGAGCCAATATATGGCTGTCTTAATGAACCTATGCATTTCATTGGTGCTTTTGAATATAAGGGCTACAGTCTGAAAAGGAGGAAGTTTAAACAAAAAGACTGTGGTGTGCAATTGCGGTCCCTGATTTTACAACTCCGGCAATTGTTTGCCGTTGCTCAGTTCTGGGAATTCGGCCTGCTCTGTTTATCTGAGGCGAAACAGGGGGCTTGCGAAACAGGGGGCAAGCAAGCAAGCAGTGTACAGAAGCCTGAACTGCAATGAGCAAAGGTTCAGGCTGTGAGGGTTAGGGCCCCTTCTCATTCCCCCCTTTCACGTGAAGCTTGGTTGGAGCCAATCTTGGGTCACTAACAGACTTACAATTCCCGTTCATCCATGAGATGGTGTTGGGTCCTTAATACCAGGAGTTGAATAGTATTAACTCTATTATTAACAAATGCAATGAGTCTATTAATTATGCAGGGGCCTATGGTCAAGACTAATAATAGCAGAAGTAGGGAGCCTGCCAGAACCGACAATAGGGTCGTCAGCCAGGGAGAGACATTAAACCAGGATTCAAACCACCCCTGATTTTGCTCCCATTCTGTTTTTCGCTTTTCTAAGCCTTCTCGGAGTCCTTTGCTACTCCTATGTGATCAGTGTAAAAGCAACATTCCTCTTTTAAGGCTGCACACAGCCCCCCTTGTTGTAAAAACAATAGGTCCAGTGCTCGCCGATTTTGGAGAACAGCCTCCGAAAGTGAGTTTAGAGATTTTGTTTGACTAGAGATGGACTGGTCGATCCAATCCAGGTCTTCATCTATAGCGACCCAGAGAGCTGAAAAATGGTTACCCTGCTGTGCTACTGCAGTGGCACCCAACCCGGTCCCTGCTAGTCCTAGCAGGGCCACTACAGTTAACAAAGTGGTAGCTGATTCTCAGAGCCTCCTAATAGGTGAGGTCGTGGGCCCTAGGCTAGTTAGGAGCTCGTCATAAGGGTGATGTATTATTCGGGGGTACAGCCTTACTAGTATACACCATTCTCTGTTGTGCTGCAACACTATCCCTGAGACGCACGGGGTTACTCCTGAGGCGTTTCAGGCCCACCAAGTATTGAGGGGCCTTGTCGAGCCCACCATTGAATGGTAAACCGGATACCAGGGTCAGTCCCAGAGACATACAGCCTTAATCCCCAAGTTTTTCCTCTGACCCATTGGGAATTTTGTACCGCTTTCCAGGTTTTTACTTTAATCTGAATTTTACCCCCCTTAGTCTGAATTTTACCCCCCTTCCCTGGGCTGTTAACTCTGGTTATCTCTAGTTCTGTGTCTCTGGTAGTCCAAGGAGCTATTGTCTCACATCCCCATCGACTGCAATAGTAGTCTTCTGCCCCCCCACAATCAGGAGAAGCCTCGCAGGGCAGACATACCATCTGGTCTGGTCTGGTATAAGTTAGCCTCTATACCGGGTTGCCCGCATCCCACCATCCTTACCCCAGGAGTCCAATGCCAAGTAGCCTGAGAGATAAACATCTTAACTCCATCCGTCCCAAGTCCCGTGTCCGCCTCTGGTAACATGTCACAGAAGTCGACAGTGAACACAGGCTGTGCTGTGCCGTTATAGTGGCTAATTACTCCCCCTTGCACCCTTAAGGTCCAATATCCGGGTGGGGGTTGATGAGAAAGGGTGCTCGAAGCCACCTCTCTTCCGACAGCTAGGATTAAGAGGATTGCAAGGTTATGCCTCATTTTCCGGATGATCTGCAACCTAAGGAATGCGATGCAGTCTAAGCTTAAAGGGGTCGTTCTCGTTTTGGGTTCTGTCAACCCGCCAGGCTGACTTGGTCGCAAGAGGCTCTATGATGTCCAGGAATGGATCCACTGGTTTGGCATGGGTGTGATGGACCCAGGAGGACACTCCGTCTACCTTGAGAGCAGTGGGGGTCGTCAAGATGACCTGGAAAGGACCCTTCCACCTGGGTTCCAAGTTTTCCTGTTGGTGGCGTTTTACCAGCACCCAGTCACCTGGCCTGTAGCCGTGGGGCACTGGAGGTGGCCCTGTTTCGTACAGGTCTCTCAGTATTGGCCACACCTCTTCATGGATCCTCTGCAGGGTTTGGAGTGAAAACAGAAGTTCAAAATCATCATTGCTTTTCTTAATTAAATTTTCTTTAAGATCAGGTATCATGGGAGGTGGTCTGCCAAACAAGATTTCATAGGGAGCAAGCCCCAACTTAAATGGGGAATTGTGGACCCTGTACAGAGCGTAGGGGAGGATGGCTACCCAGTTTGCGCCAGTCTCCCTGGTCAATTTGGTTGAGGTCTCCTTTAATGTTCTAATCATTCTTTCTACCTGTCCTGAACTTTGGGGCCTGTATGTACAATGTAATTTCCAGTTTGCCCCGAGTATGGATGCCAACCCCTGGTCCATTATCTGAGCCTATCATCACTGGGAATGATGTCCTCCAGGATCTTCTTAGCTACCACCTGGGCTGTTTCACTCTTAGTGGGAAAGACTTCTACCCATCCTGAAAAGGTATCTATAAAAACTAATAAATATTTATACCCCTACTTTCCTGTCTTCACCTCAGTTAAATCTACCTCCCAATAAGTTCCCGGTGTATCTCCTCGCTGTCTCGTTCCGGAATTTTGGCAATTTTTTCCTTCTAAGTCCTCCAATTTCTGCAGTTTTTTCTTAATATCAGGGGCTGCCTGGTTTACAAATGACATGACTACAGCTGCCTGGTTCTCGGGGGCTTCTGGGTCCATGGCGTGAGCTGCCTAAAGGCTTCCATTAACCTCTCTAAATACCCCGAAGGGGAGTCTGCTTTCCCTTGAGTAACTGCATATACCTTGGCCAAATTGGTGGGCTTGCGGGTCACTGCCCGGAGACCTGACATTAGAGTCTGGTGATAAACCTGTAGCTGTCCCCTACCTTCTGCCATGTTGTAATCCCAATCATCCTGTGGGAGCCTGGTCAAGGAGAAAGCATCATTAATCAAATCCGGATTGACGGTGGGCTGGCCATCATCACCAGGAACCAGTTTCCTGGCTTCCATTTGGATCCATTCTCATTCCTCCATGGTGAACAGGATTCAGAGGAGCTGTTGGCAATCATCCCAAGTGGGCTGGTGGGTGAACATAACGCTGTCTAAAAGAGAAATCAGATCTTTGGGATTGTCAGAAAAGCGGGCATTCTGAGTTTTCCAGATATAGAGATCACTAGTGGAGAAGGGCCAATATCGAAGCCTAGGATTTCCGGTGTCATCGGGAGGTCCGATTTCCCGCAGTGGCAAGGCCACCGTGGTGTCAGGGCGATTTGGACTCGCTGCTCGCTGGGTGCGACCCCTTGTTCTTTCCGCTGGCCCCCCAGAGTCGGTTTTGGTTTCCCTCTCCCTCAGTGCTGCTTGCGCTTCTCTGTCCACAGGTTCTGCCGGCCTAGGGTTTAGGGGAGGGGGTAGGTATGGAGAGGGGTCAAGGGATAGGAGGTCCAAAGACTCAGGCAGGACTGGGTAGAGAGGAGCCGAGGGTTTGGTCGGTTCGCCAGCGTCTGTGCGGTGCAGGGCTAGGATTTTAGTAGGAAGGAAGGGGGTCAGCCAGGTCGGCGGGTTCTCCATCAGATCCTGCCAGACAAGAATATAGGGGATCTGATCTGGGTGTCCCACCTGTCCTGGGAAAAAGATCTTTTCCTTGACTTTTTGCACAACAGAATGGTAAAAGGTTCCCTCTGGTGGCCATCCGACATCAAAGGCTGGCCACTCCGACCTGCAAAAAATGATGAGTTTGCCCTTTTGGACTTCCACACTTAAATTGAAAGCCCCAGTCTTTACATCCTTGAAGTGGTCCAATAGGATGGTGAGAGGGGTGGCCTGTGTCTGTTCCACTATGGACCAGAAAAAAACCTGTAATTGGGAAGGAGTTGTTAAAGGAGGAAGAGAAGTTCTGTCAAATAGAGAGATAAAACAGGAAAACGGCATGTGAGTTTTGTTTTTTCCAAAGTTAGCAGCCTTGCAGGTTAGCAGCCTTAAATTGAAAGCTTTCGGTGAAACATGCAAATACACTCACATACACAAATACGAATCACATGCGCTGTTGGGCTATTCCAGCCGGACTAGATGGACTATAATTCATACAGATAGTCCCAGATGGGGTCCGAGGAACGTCTTCCCATGGCCCCGCTGACAGTCCTACTATAGTGCATCCGCCAGGACTACTCGTCGGCTCAGATATAGAACCTACAGGCAATTCAAACCAAATGGCAGACAACACAGAGACAATACTGGCAGACTTATCCAGACCAGTCCTTCTGCGACCCCTCGACCCAGAGTCTTGGTGGGCTCTGGGGGCAATCCCGGAAGAGCCCCCAAATGAAGTGCCCGACGATTGACTACCCCCAAGAATCACAGACCACCAAAGTCCAAAGTCGAAGCAAATTGCAAGGATTGTTTATTTCGAGTTCAAACTTGGACTCTCCTCACTTTCCCAATAACAGTGGTACAGCAGAAGAGAGCCCCAGCCCAGTTCACACAGAGCTTATACAATCGGGTACAAACAGGTAAGTACGTAAGCACTCTTATTCCCTATATGGCTGTCTTTATGAACCTATGCATTTCATTGGTGCTTTTGAATATAAGGGCTACAGTCTGAAAAGGAGGAAGTTTAAACAAAAAGACTGTGGTGTGCAATTGCGGT